GCACAAGCCAGAAGAGTGGAAGTCCTGTTAAAATCTGCAACGTTGTGGTGGGGTAATAGCCCTCGCTATTAATTTTTTAACCCCCTCTTAAACTACCGGCACCTCCCAGCCTCTTTTTTCCCAATGGTGCTTTTTGCCTACCCGTTGCCTTCCGAACCGTCCGTGGGGGGCCAAGGCCTACCAGGCGCCGACAGCTACTTTTGTCCAGTAGGCCGAGCCTTTTGCCAGCGGTCCCGTGTTAACCGACATATGAGCACAGAGTAGCTGCGACGGGTACTGATGTGGTTCAAGAGAAAAGCCCTTCAGAGATTATAGTAAGGACACACTCACGCTCGGGCTTTCCTGATTGTAAATGATTGCCACATTCAAATCATGGGCATTAGAGCACCGGTACGGTGGACTCTTAAATTGCTGAACGTATTTGTTTGCGGCCCAACGGATTGAACAGGTTCTGGCCAGCCGGGTGCATTGAAAGCATGGGCAAGGGTATGCAGTTGCAAGTATCGGAGGAGGGGTCTCCCACTGTGGTTTATGCTTTTCCTCCTCTCCTTTTGGCCCTCGTCTCCTTCGTGTGGCCCCCTCTTCCTTCCCTCCTCTCCTTCTTTCCCATTCCTCTCCTTCTCCCCCCTCCCTCTCCTTCCCCCCCCTCTCCTTCTCCCCCACAAACTCTCCTTCCCCTCCCTCCTCTCTTTTTCCCCCTCTTCCCCCTCCCCCCCTTCAGCCCTGGCCTGAGCAATGAGGACATGTGTCTCATGTCAACGCGATATGATAGTAATAACATACTAACAAGGCAATTGGATAAGAGATGAAGGCATTTGACTCATTCTTTGGGAAGGTTGCTAGTAAAATTTCACGAAGGGAGGTGTATGGGATAAGATCTGGGCATTTGACTCGTATTTAGTTTAGGTCCTTTAGGAAGATTGGCATTAAAATAATATAAATTCAGGAAAAAAAATTGATTTATTAACGCTGATGATAGAAATATATGCTGTGTACAGACTAGACTGGGAGCAGACGTCAGTTGAGCCCATTCGGGGTTCAGCTGGGCTCAGCTCAACAAGTTTTTTTTTTTTTTTTGGCCTACGCTGAGTGAATGTAGAAGGACTATTGTGCTGTGTTTCATGTATGCCATTCTTCTTTTCTGAGGAAGGGGTGCCTGTCAGGTAGGACTTACCTAATTTGGTGTCTTCGCTTCATGTATTATGTATTTGTTTGCCTGTTGTGTTTCCTTCACTCTGTAGTATGTAGAGAGTGAGGACGACCCGGAGCTGATCATTTTCATTCCGTAAGTTTCTCATGAGCTTGTGGCGGCTTTTCTCTTTGCCTCCCAGATTTTGATGACGATGATGATGATGATGATGATGATGTTTTTGAATCACTAACAGCAATTGAATACTCTCTCTCTTTGTGTACTCTTTTCAACCTTGCTATATCGTCACTGGGTGATGTGACAGTATATTTGTGCAGCATTTCCACGCTATTATATTGTCCATGAAGTAAGAGAAAGGAAAGAACAACTGCACAGGAAAAGGCAAAAGAATGGTTTCGCAAAGTGCACTCTTTTAGTTGATAGATATGTGACTATGTACTATGTATAGTCCTATAGAAGTGCCCAGTCAACCGTAGGCAGAAAAAGACAAAAGGACAAGAAACATAGGGAAGGGCGGTAACTTACTGTTTGCTTGGAGTTTCACCGGCTCATCAGGCGACTCTGTCTCTGTGTGTGTGTGTGTGTGTGTGTGTGTGTGTGTGTGTGTGTGTGGAGTGTATTTTCTGGCTAGGGTAGACCGACCTTTGTTTCGCACGCGGGTTGCTTGTGTGTGTTTGGGTGTGTGTATGTGTGTGTGTGTGGAGTGTATTTCTGGCTGACATAGACCTTTCTTTGTTTCGCACGTGGGTTGCTCGCTTATGATTGGGTTTGAATCTACAGTCTGTAGAGTCTTCTGTCTGGGGTCGGAGGGTGATAGTCTGCTGTGTTTTTTGTCACAGATACCAGTTTAGGGCAGTGGTTTACTCTTGCCCACCTCAGGGTATCAGTGGCAGTTTCATTGTGGGGCAGTTGGTGGGCCCCTCGCTGGACCCATTAGGTGAGCCGGCCCCAGGCTGGACCTATCCAGTGAGTTGGGCCCATCTCTCTGGGCCCATGGCATGAGTTCCGTCTGTGTCTGTCTGTCTGTGTGTTGAAATTGCCAGTTCGTCCGAAGCTAAGGTGGCCAGTTACCGGTGAGAACACGGTAAGAGTTTAGCGCTTTGGCCTGCCGGACCCAAGGGGGGTACTGTGGGGGTGGGCAAAATCCCGAGTACCTCGACTTTGGGAGGGAGGTGATAGCTGTCTAATTTCCAGTGTTCAGAAATTCTGGAAAAACATCAGGGATGTTGCATAGCTTCCTCGGCATCAGGGAAAAAAACTTTGGAAAATAATAAAAATTGGTTTGGCAGAACTTGGGCCCATTAAGAAATATTCGTGCCAAACCGAATGCGTATTTTAATCAATGTTCGTGTGACCCGGTAGGAGGGATGTTTTAGGCTGGGCAGGCCTGGGGGGTGGGTTCAGTACGTTTAGGCTCGTCCGAACTGGAGGGGTTACTGTCGAGGGTGCTATGCTCGCGCAGGGATTGTGCAGTGAAGGCCGGCACTTAGGAGCGTAAAGGCAAGGAAGGAATATGTAGGCACGCAAGACAAACATGCATGCATAAGAGATGTGGCAAACCTTGCTCTTGTGTGTCGTTAATTGTCCTCTGGTGCCATGGATGGATTTGGGTTTGATCTTTGATTTGATGGCTGTTTTACAACCACACACAGGGATGTGGGCAGCCTGCGCTCAACTAAGTTAACGTGGCGAGCGTTGTATGCAAGAGGAACAGTGAATGGGGAGCTAAAAGAAGAAATAAAACAGTAACCCCCCTTGGTAGATGATCAAAGAAGGCACAAGGGCTAGGCTGTTTCCCTTTTCTGATCTGATCTCCCCCCTTCTTTGGATGTACAAACATACTTGCCGGTGATAAGTAACGGGACTGATGCACCCCAGAATAGAAGGGGCTTTGTGTAAAAAAAAAAAAAAAAAAAAAAAAAAAACCTGAAGGAAACACAAGAAAGTGGCTGCACAGCAAAAGGCAAACAATGGTTGTAGTGTGCTTCGTGTTGTCGGCAACTTTTTTCGTTTGCTTCCAAAAGCGCACTACTTTAGATGATATGTATGTGAGGGAAAGCTGTTTCAATTTTGGATCTACTCAGCTGCGGGGAAAAAGGGGTTGTTGTCGTGGTGACAGTCAAAAATACACAGGCACACCTGCACTCACAGAGAGAGAGAGGGAGAGGGAGGGATAGATTGATAGATCGAGAGAGAGAGAGAGAGAGAGAGAGAGAGAGAGAGAGAGAGAGAGCTGTCTCTTATACACATTATTATGAAGTATGGACGCCCGTAGGTGCTTGTCNAGAGAGAGAGAGAGAGAGAGAGAGAGAGAGAGAGAGAGAGAGAGAGAGAGAGAGAGAGAGAGAGAGAGAGAGAGAGAGAGAGAGAGAGGTTGTCGCTCACTTAAAACATACAGCGGGTGAGCTTTTCAATTGATGTTATTGATAGTAGCAAAGCAACTGGAAGAGAAGCGCACTCTCTTGGCACAGGATGTCCCAGCGCTCAGCAGATGGATGCATTTTCAGCAGATGGATGCATCTTCTTTGGGAGGTCTGTACAAGTTTGATTTAATCTGGTCTAGTGAGAACTTTCTAGACTTCGGAAGGTCCTGCCAATGGTATAGGAATGTTTTCCCTGCAGATGCTTGTTGTGATGATGATGTGTCAAATTGGTGTTGGGCAAGAGCCGCTGAACTACCGTCTTCACCTGAATCAAATGCATGGTCATCATAGCCGTATTGAGGGCGACTTTCAGTCTAGATAAAGAAATAAATGATCGTGTGATCTTTTCGGCTGAAGCTGTGTAGGGGAATGGACGCCATCCAAATACATATTCACCTCTCCTTCCTGCTTTCCATCCTTCCTCTTCCCCCTCCTCAACCCAAGCTACTGACACCCCCCTCGTCTCCTCCCTCCCCGAAACACCCACTCCATGACCCCCACCACTTTTCCTCCTTTTTGTTTCCCTTCCGTTCTTTTCGTTTTTTTTGTTTTCTTTTGGGATTTCCCTTCCTTTCTGCTGACATTGCTAGCTTGTCTACTTTTTGGGGAATTAGTTGTTTTCGTCTTGCTGTTCCTGTCATGCTCATGGATTTTGTCATTCCTCCTTTTAACCCTCAGTGTTTTTCATTTTGTCGTCCCTGCCATGCTTATGGATTTTGTCGTTCCCCATTTTTTTGTCCCAGGTTCACTGCAGATGTGAAGATAAAGAGCATCTCAATTATTGGAGGTGTCGATGGCACCAGTCCATCCAAGATGAGAGTGTGAGTATGATGATGTAAGGGGCCATCATTTGCTTTTTTCGTGCTTGGATATGCATGCCTTGTTGCCAGCCCTCCTTCAAACCTTGCAAAGATAGGAGGGGTCTTAATAAAAATCAGGGCCAGAGAGGAGCTAGGATATGCATGTGATGACTTCGATTGTTGAGATACTAATCCAAATAGAGATTTTGACTATGCCTTTGACGATTCAAATTTGCAAGGGATTGCTCTCTCTCTCTCTCTCTCTCTCTCTCCCTTCTTTCATGTAAAGAGAGAGAGAGAGAGAGAGAGAGAGAGAGAGAGAGAGAGAGAGGGGCAGTAGCTCCTAATGTATCTGTTGGTGTCCATCAGGATTTGAATTTTGAACCCATGGCATTTGTTTACTCTCACAGGACATGTGTGTACCATTCAGCGACATGGGCTGGGTACAAGTGACCACTCTCTACGATTGGGTGTGATTAGTTACTTGTACGTGGTAAGAGTTTTTTTTTTTTTTTTTTTTTATGGCCCAATGGACTACGGATCAGATATTAAACTGATCAGAACAGATACATTGCACTTGATCTCACTTAGCCAAAAGGCCGAGAAAGACTTTCTGTACAACATTGCACTTGATCTTACTTAGCCAAAAGACTGGCCGAGAAAGACTTTCTGTGCATCTGAAAAACTACATTTTTACTGCGCTATTGTCGTATTGATGATTTCTCGCATTTGACAAGGGAAAGACTTCACAAGAAATGGAAAAATACAAGTCAACCACCAGTACCTTTCCCAGCTAGTTTGTTCTCATGGGGCTGTTAATGCAACCCGTCCTTCGGGGCTTGGGCTGCCTGACCTTAATGACTGGCCGCGTCAGGCGAAAGAAAAAAACGTGCCTGCGCCAGCTCGTGTTTTATTAGCAACACAGCAAATCCCCATCGAGAAAAAGAGGCTTGGAGTTACTGGTGGAGGGAAAAGGCCTCAACAAGCTTTGCCTGGCTGTTATATCTCACTGGTATGCAACCATAAACAGTCACGACGCAGGGTGTTCAAACTCTGTGAAATCGCATAATACTGATATCACGGGCCGTTGTGGTTCTCCCAATAGAGTACAATGTATTTATATTCCTGCCTATGTATCTGACTGCAGCATACTCAGGGTCTCCTGCCTGAATATGATTGCAGTTGCAGCCAGATTCTGTCGAAGAAGCCACAGTCAAGAGTACGCCCTAAGAAGCCTCTGTTGTGAATAGACAAAAAAAAAAACAAAATGTTAATCTTGGAGACGTAAAAACTGTTGCTTACCAATCCAGAGAGACGGAAAAAAAAAAGTGGTGCCGGAAAAATGTCCATTCCCATGAATCATACTAATTGTCAAAAGGTCGGTATGAAGCATTGTATACAGTAGGGCGGAAAGAAATGAATAGGGGTGTCCTTCGGGATGTCCGTTAAAATTGGAACGATACCTAGGCTACCAGCCGGGCTGCCCGGGTCCCGGGTGACCAGCCCGTGCAAGGACCAGGGAAGGTCCCAGCAAAAAAAAAAAAAAAAAAAAAAAATCCCTTCAAAAAATCCGAAAAGAAAACTATGTTGTGCAGAAAAATAAACTGAACAACTTTTGCCTCGGGGTCACATCGAAATTCTTCACCAAAGTTAGAACAAAAAAAAAATCTAATAATATCTTCTTCTTTTTTTTTTCTTTTTTTTTTTTTGGCCCGGCCTGGCAAGTGACCCCGGGCCACTCTGGTA